GTAATACACACTTTTAAAGTCATTGTGAAATGAATGTGTATACACATATATGTGTCAGCTTAATTCTACTGAAACTAAAAGGGTGAAACAGAAGAAGAAAGAGGTGAAGAGATGGAGGAGTAATAGTAGCAAGAAGAGAGAAAGATGAGACGCCATGAATAGACTGATGAGACAAGCCATCACCCAAACAGGGTATAGCAAAAGCAATGTGTAACAGAGGACAACAAGACAGTGGCAGACCAGACGCAGCCCTCTCTCAATTTCCCCCATCACCATACTTGGTCTGCGTATTACTCTTTCTTTTTTCTGCTTCCACTTAAATACTTGAAAAAACAAACACAGCTCTTTGGGAAGAGAGAAAGAGGACATGCAAAAGAAGCTGTTTGATTTCCACTCTAAACGGGGCAATGCATCCCGCACTTCCCTCTGTTTCTGTTACTCTCATCAAGACCTGGAAACACAGACTATCTGGTTCTCGAGTGTGTGTTTACATCAGCCCTTCATTTGTTCCAACTCCCGACGGCAAGTATCCAAATTCATAAGAGTGGTAGTTATTCTTCTTATCAAAGCTCATTATTGTTATTGTCACATTCCACAAAGCTAGTTACAAGTAGTGTATACATAAATACATGTTCATATGCGAGCCAAAACTCTGGGGGAAGAACGAGTGCTCAGCATTTAGAGAAAGCTCGGAGTGTGGCATCCAATGCCTCCCGATCATAATCTCCCGTGAACACACAGTTTCCAAGCGGACCTTTCAGAAGAATGAGCCTCAGCAATCCGTCTGCCACTTTCTTGTCCACCTGCATTTACCACACACACATATCTCAATGAATCTTAGGCTCTAAAGATCCCAACTTTGTTCTCATTTACATCTGCATTTAACAACCACAAACTCACCGCCATTATCGACTTGAACATGCTGACCGTCATGCTCTCTGGCGGTGTTGTAGGCAATTTCGCCCGTTTTAGGATGTTGTTCACTCTCTCAACTATCGACTCATCGATCCAACCAAGACGATACGACATGTCCACGGCCATTACCTAAGTACAAATAACAGTGTGCACAAATCTCAGATTCGAAGAGAGAAGAGTGGTTAGCAGTATGGC